CGCCTGTTTGTTAGATCGTACTTGTATTTTAAACAGTTTAGGTGAAACAGCTCTCGAGAGAGAAAATAATTGCATGGCAATGCACACTTTAATGACTAAATACAACCTTTATTATAGAAACACCAATAATAGAAAAATAAAGAGCATATCTTCCTTCTCATAGCAAATTATTTTTCAGCAACCATTTATCACAGCAAGCTAGAAGTGATCATCCAAAACATCTTCTTACACCTAAGATGCTGATCTACATCTGTCCTCTTTCAGCCAGAATTAACAGCTATTTTTTTAATTTGGACTTTGTCCATCAGAGAGCAAAAAGGACTGAAAGAAATTAAATCTGGCTTTATAAATTCCTTGGTGATTTGGCTAAATATGATATCATCATGCGCAGGGGATGCCGTTGTGTCTACCCTGGGCGTGCAAGAGACTGTAGTGAATGGTCTGGGGTAAGAGCTACAGCAGAGCATCAAGGAGCTGCATGGACGTACTCATCTAATTTCTGTGAGTGGCTCAACTATGTCCTGACCAGCACATGCTTGCAAGCAAGTTAAGCATAGCTTCCCTGATGGGATGTATCAGGTCATCATGATCAGTATCTTCTGGTTCAGGGATGGGTTGTTCTGAGTCCACAACTGAGGGAGAAAGTGAGCTGGGGCTGCTGAGACCAACATTGCTGGTCGCTCTGAGAGCCAGCCGCAACCTTGCCCCCTCCCCTAGCAGATTGTGCTTGTCTCAGCTCTCTGGGTACATGGGCTCATGCTGACTGTATGAAGGGTTTTATCATGCAGATTTTTAGGGGAGGTTGGTTGGTAAACCTCTGTCCCAAGCAGCGAGCAGGTTGCTGAACAAGGGTCTGACTGTGGCAGAGAGCAGCCCTGGAAGGGAAGCATACTGCCAGGCTTAGAAAATACTGTTGTCATTTACATCCATAGCGACAGGAAGCAAAGAAACTGTGCACTGCTGCCTATGGTATAACTATTATGGCCCACCTAGTGTACAACTAGTTTATCATAAGAGCCTCTTCTTTGTATGGTACTCTTTTAGGGACTTTTTGTTCAAAATGTTTCCTCAGACAAGATGTTTAAAAAAGAAAGTCTGGCAACCAAGACCAATTGCACCTATAGAGTCTTCCCACTGGGAGGAGGACCTCAAAGCAACTCGGTTAGATAAAAAAGTGCCACCCAAATATCTATCTAAATTCTGACAGAAAATAAATACAGGCATCAGCTTTAAAAGCTGCACATGGCAACTCAGGGAGCAGCTGAGCTGTCTAATTCTAATTCAGCATTAAACTCAGCGAGGTCACACTCCCTGCTACGCTGGCGTGCTACCATGCATCCCTGCTGCAGGCTGTTGGTGTGTTTTGTGGTCGGAGAAGGAGGGGACAGCATGCAGGCTGGGCTGCAGGTGGGAGAAGGGTTGCACTTAGGGGCTGGGATCTCCTGATTCAGTAAGGAATTCTCCAGTGGATCCTCTGCTACTGTAAAGCACTAAGTCCATTGGATTATTTTGCTGTATGTTGGCAGCATTTCATGGGAGCATCCAATTGTTTCATCAGTTTATACCACGTGCACTTCATCTCTGCCGTTCAGAGCAAGCCCAGAGTATTGTTCATCTAGAAAGGGCAGTATGCAGCTTCATAAAAATAGCAAACAAATAATAGCAATAGAAAGCACAAGAACAAATCAGGTAAACGTGAATTCAAACATTGTTCAATACCAACAGTTTGATTCACTGTAGAGATAAAAAAGTGTAGGGCTTGCCAGAGGGTGTCACAAGATTAAACACAGAATTATCAGTCATTGAGAACAGTTTTCTCTCCTCTTGTTGATATCAAACATTAAAAGACTGAATATTAACATAAAGAAATTTTTTCAGTACAGAACATAACAAGAAAATGCTATATCCATATCAGTAGAAGTAACAAACTACAGATCATGCAACCCAACAACACAAAGAACATGTGAAATAGGGCTTAGTTTTGAATGGGAAAGATGTCTACTGATCACTGCCCAGAACACTTAGGGTCAGATCGTGTGCAGTGCTGAGCTTTCTAGGCCATGTTTGTTGTTAAAATGTCCACACGTAACGGTTTGGGACAGTAATATCTCTACTGCGTACATAGGCTCATTTTTGAATGGAAGCTCTTCCATATATTTACCTTTCCTGGTGGACATCTCATCAATTCTCTTGTTTTAAAAAAAGCAAATGCTTTAATTGACTATAAAAAATCTGCTTTCTAAACAGCAGATTAATAGTATTAACTAACCCTGAGAAACTAAGCGAAGAGCCTGAACAATGCCCAAGTTCCGTAGGCTGCTTGTCCACTAACCAGGGGCAGAGGAAGAAGGGTGAAAATAAGCTGGATAAAGTTCACTAAGCAATCTTAACAGTGCTGGAGCCTTCTGCAAACCAATAATTGAAATACTCAAGTTTCAATTTGAGGATTCAATTGAATACAGTTCAAATCACTGTATCTGTATTAAAGGTTTGAAGGTTTGGTACTCTGTTTCTTGTGCTACTTTACGTTCTAATCGCGTTCAACTGCCTCCCTTGCTCGCAGCTGGTTCTGACTTCTGTTTTATGTTTCTCCAAGTGCAAGAGTGCTTCAAAATTGTCTTTGTCTTTCTTATTTATTGGTTCATTCAGACTCAAAGGGAACATTTCTGGAGATCGTTAATTACTTTCACAGCTATGTATTATGCCAATTATGGAACAGTATGACCGTGTTTCCTGCTTGACACCAGCATCTTCTAGTAATTCAAGGAAAGGAAGGATTTCTTTTCTTTCTTAATTTAAATAAGTATACTCTCGATGGTTAAATAATAGTAAAATATCAGAACTATTTTAAAAATACTTAAGGGAAATTAAACTCACAAGATATTATCATCAGTTTTACCCAGTGAAAATCCAGTGAGGTTCCATCACCATTAATAATGGCTCAGGATTTGAGCCATTATGGCTCAAATTATTAGTGGAAATTAAGTTAGCTCCCAGCATTTCTGTTTTGTTTAGTTCCAGATTAAACGAACAACAAGGAATTTTTGCAGATGACTTCAGTTTTTCTTTTGTTTAATGGGTGCCATTCCTCAGTCCTTTTCCAGGCAAAACTTTTATTGGTAAAATTTAAGCCAGTACCCTAACTCCGAAGGGGGAAGTGTGCTCTTATTTAATATTATTTTCTCTTTTGTAAATGTTTGTATATATAATTTCTTATCATTTTGATGTCATTTGCTGCAGATGGTGTGGTGTGTGCACGTGTGTGTATGTTTGTGCACATTTGTACATATGTTTAGCTTTGTAAATCTTCTGTGACAAGGCGATTTTCCTTGTTACAATAAAGAACATGAGCTGAACTTAATTTCAAAAGCAATTACTACTTTCATGCCTTCATCATTGGCTTAGCAGGAAACAGACTACAGAGTGTATCAATTAGTGTGCTTTAAAGCAAGTCCAAATTATTTCCATATGAAAATCCAGCTGCTCAGCTGTAAACACACTGGATAGAATTCACTTTTGGGCAGAGAGTTTGTCCAAGGCCTGTGCAAGTTTTTATTTCCCACAGAAGCCTTGAGCGTAAAGCGTCAGTGGATTTCCATTCGCTCACGGACCTTGTGCAGGTCTGCCACAATTGTGGCCACTTAGTCCCTGGCATTGTCAGGGGATCTGAGTGTGGTATCTTCCTGGACTAAGAGAGATCACAGTGCTGCCATCTCAGTAGAGGGACAGTTACTGAGTTTGGCAGCAGTTGTGTAACAGATCCGTGTCTGAATAGGAAGTAGGTGATTCATGAGCTCTCACAAGACCATGAAATATTAAGGTCCTTGAATTTATCAAGCAAACTCACCCCAGTCCCCATCTATCACACTGCCATCCTTTGCACCAGCCCGTGTGTCACGGTGCTTTCAGACCCTCGTGTTAGCTTTCTCCACGTTGTGTTACAAGCATGTGGCAAAGGGATGCTGTGCCTCAAGCGCCAATTGACAAGTGGGATGGCTTGGACTGGTGTGGCAGCTGCATGGAGTTACTGCCTCCAAACGCCTGCCCAGTTCTGCTGCATAGACAGCTCAGCTGCCTGTCAATCGGCTCCTGAATTGTGCAGTTTGCAGCATAACACTTCAGGATAAACTTACCAATGTAATATTGCTCTAATGTGCTGTGCTTTATGAGGCTGCATTTCAAGAATTATTGGCAAGAAGCTCAGACATCTTTGCAGCAGGGCTGAGACAAGCAATGACAAGTGATCATTTTGGCACATACTGGTCAGGCAGACCCTGTGTGACCTCAGCTGGGTAATCTTCTCTTATTTGCATATACCATCACTGGGAACTAGACAATTTTCTAAAAATACTGCCTCCAGAATGAGACACACATATTACCACTGTGTTCTTCTGAAGGGCCTAGTGGGAAAACCAAGAACTTATGAAATGTAAGCCTGATATTTACAGGACTGGTAAAAACTTGCTTATGAATGGAAGTCACGCTTACACTTCCCTGAGACTTCAGCATACACAGTGTTCCCACAAGGCTTCCACCGAGCTCTGATTTAACAGGGTTTTCTGTAGCTGTGGAACTCTGCTTTATTCACTTGAAAGTCATATCACTGGAATCACCTATTTTAATAGATCTAAATGCCATCTTTAAGAAACCTGTTGGATTTTCTGGCAGAAAGGGATACTGCCCACTTTAAGCTATTTTTAGACATCTGACTTAGGTGGTCTCAATTGCCTCCTTTGTTGATAATATAAAGAATTTAGGCTCCTCACTTTGGTCCTGTGGACTACATTTAAATTAGATGCTAAGATAACCTAAAGTAGATGGTGTGAGTTCTCTCCTCCCTACCTTAAAGAAATCACTTCCAGAAATATTCATTAACTTTAAACACATGGTGTCATCCCACTTTTAAAAATATGGCTTCAGGGCAGTGAGATTGCCAGGTAGAGGCTAAAACTCCTGTGACTTCTCTACTTGCTATACACATTTGGAAGTTCAAGGGCACCTCAGATACGTTGGTATCCTCTATGCGGCTTTCTTCTGGAAATCAGGAATGTGACAAACACAATGACAAACAATCCCAGGATACTCAGGCCCACCGCGATGGGAGCTACTTTGCCGTTTTTATCAAGAAAACATTCTTCTTCTGAAAATAAAAGGAGATCAGAGAATGTGTTATAGCAGAACACCATACTCCTAGACTATACATCTGTATTGCAGAAAAGTTAGCAAATACAAGCCAGAAGTTCTCAAAACCTTGGGGTTTTGGGGTTTTTTTTCCCCCCTTCTTTTTCCTCAGCTATACTTAAAACATTTTTATCTGTGGTGAATCTTATATCATAAAAACAATACTTGCCCCTTTTGAAATAGCTACGTGCTTCACTGGAGAATGACTCTGCTCTTTCATGTCCACAGGAACTGTTTTACCATCAAGATAAGTACATGCACGGCAGGAGGCTTTCTTGCTGATAGCACGTGTGGAGCATCACACTACAAAGTGCAAGTCTATAAGAGCAATACACACCCTGCATGGACAAAAACTGCTCCTATGTGGTATCTAATTGATTCTGCCCAGTAAAAAGGATCAGGCCAGAGAAGGGAGCCCATAGTCCAGCAAATCATTAGTGCAGCAAGGATCCTAGTTAAGTCAGTGTTTCTTAAGAAAAATCAAATTCTAATTGTCCTCTGGGTTTAATTTGGAATATTTGTGGATATTTGTGGCTAACTCACAGCATCAAGAGATTAGGAAGGCAGATGCCTTGGACTTAGTCCAGGGCATTGCTTTAGCAGTACCATTGTAATTTTATTGTACATATGATGATTTCAGAAAAGGTTTTGACACAAATAATATCTTTTAAGAACCATTCAAAGATACATCATCCCAAACATATCTTTTAGCTACAGAGGGGGCAAATCCTGACTTCCTCAGCTAGTCCCTACCCAAATGAATACCCAAGTCATCCTCTGATTAAATGGAAACTCATTACTTAAAAATGAACTTCCAGACTGGGGTAAATTGGCGGCTTTTCTAAGGAGAGACTGCTCCATCTAGATCACTGACAGAAATGGAATGTTTACCCAAGTAACAATGGCAGGATCATTCTCAAATTCACAATGCAAGGGAGTGAAGGCAGGGTCTGGGAATGATCACTAATGTGTTATCCCAGAACCAGATCAGACCTACATCTTCCATCTGATCTGTAGGAATGGTGCTTCCGTGGGCTTCAGGGAAAGACTGACCTCTAGCACGATGCTTTGAGTGGCACCTGAGTAGCAGGGTATCCTCTAAGCAGGGCAGCTTGATCAGCTAAACCCCACAGTATATCCCAACTCAGCAGTGAATCAATCCAGTTTATACGCAGGGTGTGAGGAAGATCCAACACCCTCTGCCCCTGACTATTCCCAGGCAGATTTCAACAGTAAGACAAAAGCCTCTGTTGTTATTTTCTAATTCTGATGACTATGCTGGCACAGACTGTAGCTTAGCTTGGGCTTTTCCCCAGTGGGAATCTTTATGGCAACAGTGGGCAGTTAGCCCAGGGAGCATGTGGAATTCATGACATCATGTCACAGCTCCAGAGCCTCCACATGGCTCTCCCCAAAATCTGATCCTCTTCTCCTCTGATCCAGATGGTCATTTCACGTGATGCAATGCCACAAAGCCAAAGGCATCAGCATCCTACTAGATGCTGCCTTTTAAAAGCTTTGCTGGGTTAATGTAATTGCAGTGAGCTGAAAAGTATTTGCATTTGAGTATTGCAAAAGCCAGAGATGTTTGAATTAGCCATTTTGCTTTGACGAAGCCCTGGGTTATGAACTCTGAGAATTGTTTCTGATATACTGAAGTGCAGTTCAGAAGACGCTTTTACAGCTTTCCAGACTCAAACAGGCCAAGCTATTGATGTAGCACTGCTGCAGTCTGTACAAAATTGTAAGGAACTTGAAACCAATGATTATTAGTGTTTTCTTTTTCTTCCCCTTTTAAAGATAAGCAAATCAAGAGCAACAGAAGTGAAACTACCAGTCTCGAGAAACCCAAGGGGAGGAGGCTGGTGATGTGTGTAGAGTCACTCCGTCACTGGGGATTTTATCTTTCAAAATCTGCATACAGAGAGAGGTACGTAACAGTTTCATAACTATCTCATGGCCACTGGGGAATTATTTCAGAGGTGGTAGTTGCTTTCTCAGCCCTTTGATTAAGAGCAAAACTAATTTAATTTTCTATCTGATATTGATTAGCAGAGATAAGCCTGACCTTGACGAGAGACAGATTCTTTCTAAGCTCTGTCTCTGCTAGTGGTGAGGCCATACCAAAAGCCATAACTGAACTCACTCATTGTACAAATTCGAATGGGAATGTGGGGACCAGATGGGATCCCATGAGTTGTTCCAGCTCAGTTTTATCCCATGAAAAAAAAACAACAAAAAAAAAAACCCCATAGATTGGATTCTTAGTGTGACTTTTAAGAATTTAAAGAAAAATATGTAAAAAAAATTCCATGTCTTAAAAAAGCCCCAAATGTTGTTTCCCATTTTATTCCCTTTAGAATAAGAAAGGTAGCCAAAATGGTGAACTAACAAAAGAAGAATCAGTGCCAAACTGAGTCAAAAGACAGATCTAAAGTAAAAGGAAGAATACAGAGGCAATATTTTGTAAGCATGCAGAAAGTCAAATGTCTGAAGAAGGGAATGGTTTCTTAGCACATATGAAGGGCTGGAGAGCTGATGAGCCTATCTGTCCACCTGAGTTCTTGTATGGAAACACCCTGAGAGGAAGTCACAGAAACACACAATTTGAAAGAAACCACAGGGTACCATCTAGTCCACCTCTCTAGTCCACCTCTCTGCTTTTTGTAGGATCTTTCAAGAGGTTAGGCAATAGGCCATGAGGGTGTCCATACTGTGGGACATGAGAGTTTCCTGGTGCACCTAGCAGTCCTGGACCCCACACCCTGGCCAGGTCCTAGCTGCATCACTGGACAAGAAACAAGGATGGTGACATCTCATTTCCCTGTGGAAGGAACCCCAGGTGATGTCCCCAAATACATTCTGCCAGTGTGGGTAATCCAGGGACCAGGGGAGTCAGTACTGGTCTGTTTCTGTCTTTTCCTAAGCTACTTAGTTACCTCTTTGTGGCTGTACTCAAGACAAATTGCAGAGATGAGCATCACATTTAATTTTGAAACTAGGGAGCGTGCCAACTGTGCTCTTCCTCAGGAGTGCATTTCATCATGTCTAGACACAGCTGTTCTGAAAGTATCATCCTGCATTCACAAATATCCCTTATTAGTTGGCAGTTTTGCTGCTGCAGCTGTGGGACATCATGAGTGTCAAGAGCCTTTCAAAATAGTTAAAATCTGACTATATCAAGAACAGTGACCTTGAACTGAACTGTACATATTAGGGCTTTGGGCAATGCAATGGTGGTGAACACACCTCCGCTTGCTCTGGGAGAAAATGGGTGAAGAATAAAATGGTGGCTGCAGAGTTCAATGTTTTTAATGAGAAGGTGAAACAGAAGGTATTGAATGTAGGAGGGAGACATACTTTTCCATCTTCCATAGGTATTAGCGCTGTGTTGACAATGACTCAGAGAAGGGTGAGAATACAGCAGTGGGCAGGTTATGGTGTTTGGCAGCCGTTGCAAAGCTGTGATTGTGCTATGGGTGTAATAGGATCACCATGTGTATAATCTAGCAGAAGGAGATACCTCAGGCTACCAGAGTGCTGACATGTAGATCTCAGAAGGGTGGGAAAAGTATCCTACTTACCTTTTCCAAACTGGTTACCGACAATATCAAATGCCTGCAGCTGTGTATTAACAAAGAGTAGCTGGAAGTTCTTCTCCAAGCCAAAGGTTTGCTTGCTGGCACACTTAAAGGAATTCCCCAGCTTTGTTGTAAACAGCTTCTTATCTATGGCTGCATAGTAAAGCATGCCTGGAGGCCATAAAGAGAGAGACAAATGAGAATCCACACTAACTCTGTTGGCACCAACATCTTTCTGAGATAAAATGGAGGATCCCTGGTGCTCTGGCAGGGCAGCAGTCACAGATGTGACTAAAGCATGAATATTTTCACCATAATGTATCAGTTACATTTCTTCCTTGTTGAAATGAGTGCTCTAATTATCAATGGGCAACTCAGCTGAGCTGGAGTCTGAAAAAGTGGCTAAGATTTCAGATGCTTCTTCAAATCATATTTTAACAACTTGAGTCTGCAAGAGGGGGTTAGGACTCTCACAGGAGCCAGCATGGCTATTGCCAGACAAAACAGAGATACTATCTCTAGCATGGGAATTTGAAATATCTAGTCTGTATTGCTTTATGTATTAAATATGTTTTTAAACATATTTCAGTGTCACAATACTTTACTGGAAGTATGGCTCAAGCTCAAGCACTCCTAGCATCGGGGCAGCTCCTGACTGTTCAAATGGCGAGAAGCAGGGCTATGTAAGAAGAAGAAAATCCAATTGCCTGCGAAGAGCACAGACAAGGTCTAAAGAACCTCCGCCTGGGTCCAGTTCTTATTTTTGCCAAAGGAAAATATCAGACACACCTCCTTTCCGTATTGGTGTATTTGAAATCCAGATCCAGCTCTGCACTTCTGTGATCCAGATACTGTATTCATTTACTTTGCTTATTAGATTGGAAAGATGCATGCAACTGAACTGGAGTCACAGCATTTTTGTATGGTTGCAGATAAAAAACCTTGAGGACTGTTTTGTATCTTAATTTAGGTTTGAAGTGATCTCCTTTCTGAAAGAGTAGTGAAAGGCAGGGAAATATTTTGGGGACGAAATGAGAATTGAACAATTCTGATGAAACTGCAGCCCAGTCCCTTCTCTTCCATTTTCACACCATAAGATTTAGGTGAATGACACATTGAAAACCTGGTGAAATACATAATCTGCAAAATCCAGTGTTTTAAAGATATGAAAGCCTATCCCACCCCTAGAACAGTTTGATATGAAATTAAGACAGTGTAAAATTACTGACCTTCAGAAGATAACTGTAATCTAGCCTCAATTTTGCTGACATAGTACGTTGGAGCTTGCTGCAAAAGCAGATACAACTTTATTTGTAATACATCCTCATATTTGTAAAAAAAAAAAAAAACCAGAACAGTTCACCACAGCAAAATGGTCACAAAGAATTCTCAAAAAAAACCCAACCAAACATTTTAAAGCATCACCTTCAAGACCCAAGTACCAACTTGCTTGGATGTATTGCTTTTTCTTTTCCAAATCACTCTTTCCAATAGCTGAGATGCTGGTGCAATGCGGCAATCTCAGCTACATCACAAATTCTACTCAGTTCAGTGAAACCGGACCATGCAGGTGTGATTTTTGCACACACTGCTCAAGCTAGACATTTCTGTGATACTTGTGGTAACCAAAAGTAGGAGGGAGTTAAGCAAATATTATACATTGCACAAATTAACAGGCATGTGATTAGGCGATGTTACTTTTATTCACCTGTTCTGCTTTCACTAAGAGTCCCTACAGTGCTCTCCTGAGTAATCCTGCACTCAATTAACCTGTGCTGACCTGCTGTCTGACTGCTTGCAGGACCTCAGCCGACACCTTTAGAAGTACTCAGGACTTTATGCACAGATGCCCTTTGCGTGAGCGAACTGCAGAAAGCAGCCGTGCTTCTGGGTTCATCATTTTGAACTGGAAGAGGTCAGCAACAAGCTGAGACCTGGGAGCTCATCTCATGCTAGTACCACTCATTTCCTATTTTGTTTGCCAACAGCAGCCACTACGAATGAGGAAACAGCAACCTGGATGTGTCTGCATAGGGGAGAAATAACGTTCTTTCCACCCTTCTGACACCATTGGTGCTGGCTGGCTTTTTTTCGTGTGCCTACAGACTGCTGACATGGATGGTACAACAGCAGAGAGCAAAATTTCCAGCCAAGTGTCCTGCCTCCATGTGCCCTAAACCCCTGGTGCAACCTGAATGCTGTCCTCCCCTGGACTGTCACACAGCGAGAGCCAGCCCTAGGACCTTCTCTGTGAGTCTTTATGTAGCAGCCCTACTATTCATTTTGATTCCAGCAGTGAGTACACAGGGACTGGTGGATAAACAGCAGCAGACGTGAATGTCTCCTGTGCATCCAGCATTAACGTTATGCAGTTTAAAAGCTGGTGGGATGGATTGGGAAAGTTTAATAAAGAAATAAACCAGCAGAGAGGTCTGAGGATTATTCTCACTTAAAGACATAAATAGGCCAAATATTACCATTGTTTTGGTGGCAGCGCTATGTTCTGTTTGGCCACAGTTAATAACTTTGCTTGGGGAAAACACCTGCTCCTACTTTACGTCTTGTGGGTTGGTTACAAAACTTCCTTTTTTCAAGCTCTTTGCAAAAAGCAGCTGGCAGTGGTGAGTACTGAGCCAGCCGCTCACCTCCTGCTACCCTGCACCAGCACTGCAGCCCTGGGGCCTGACCCAGCTCCTTTTTCACCGGTGAAAATCAGAAGTGCCACCGCTGGAGCACTCCTGGTTCGAAGCAGTTAGAGAGGCTGTGGAGGCCAACGATATAAAAAGCAGCGGCAAAATGATTTCTCATTAACTTGAATTTCAAAGAGGTCTAAGCCAAGCCCTGCTATTCTCTTGAGGCTTATCTTTAAGCGAAGGGCAGACTGTCTAATGCTCTGCCAATAACCACCTTTTTCAGTGCAAGATAGGTCAAGTACCTCCTAAAGGTTCACGTCACTCTCCTTAGCACTGCCACAAGCTGGGGCTTTCACGGGTACTTGAATCACCAGACTGTTTCTAAGGATCCTTGTAACACAGAAAAAGCTCCCCTTGTTGCAGGAAGCGTACAGTTAAAGCAAACACTCACGGTCTGAACTGATCCTTTGTTTTAAAACAGCTCCTTGATTTTTTAACTCACTTTTTCTCTATAGCTTTTAGAAAACTTTCTAAAATCAAGATGATTATTAATTGAAATCTTTTCTCTGCTCAAGCATTAATGACTCCAGTGGGGTATAATTTGCCATCCCCTCTTGGACATTCTATGGAAATGTATTGAACTTCCAAGGACCTGCCAGCCCCCAGCTGAATGGAAAATGACAACTGATTTGTACTTTTCTTAATTGTCGCTAATTTGAGCTTTGAACCAGGCTGCAACACTGACATTTTGGCTTGATTACTTGAAGGACACAGATCAGCAGTGATGGCCAGATACAGCTCTGAACTGCTGTGGAGCTCCAGGATATGGCCTTAATGCATCCTACAGCGTTTGATGGGATCCAACCCATGCCGTATTCCTCCCTGCCCATTAATGACTTTGTGCACAGCCCTAACTTCTGTCTTTAGCCCTGCTGGCATCACCATCCAGCCCTTACTAGCTTTCAGTTAAATAGTACTGCCTGCTGCCTCCCAAAATGTGTGAATGGTGCAAATGCCTGAGGAAGCGAGAGGATGGCTGCACTCAGCAACTTTCTCCTGTGGTTATAATATCAGCAGCGTTCTTGGTAGCTTATGTTAAAGCCTCGTCCACGTATGATGCGATCCCAGCAGGGAGCATGGTATCAATAGACACAACGTCAAAAAGAAAACGCGTTTTTCCACTATGTAAGCATGGGCCTCTCTCTTGCCCAATTTTTTGTGTGTATTTATAAATCTCCCTAGTCTGGTGCATTTTAAGGGCACTTATCTACAGTATTGTTGCAGTTCAGTTGTTTGGAATTTTCCACTCAAAAATTAGATGACATTAGGCACCTTCAGCTGTGGGTGGGCCATGGCTCCGTACAACTGCACAGGCTGCCCTTTGGATTTAACAACTACAGCTGGCTTTTGGCTGGGCAGTTGGGATACTTGGCGTTTACGGGAAACAAATGACTAACCTCACCTGCGTTCACATGGCCCCTGAGACACCATTTCATAAGAGTAACTTGATAGTGTGAGTCAGAGCTCCCGGCACGCACCCCTTGTTCCTGCGCAGGGACACCAGTCCCCAACCCCTTCCCTCTGCCTCATTCCAATGCAAACAGCAGACCCAGCCTTCCCTCCCACTGGATTTTTACCTATGGAAAAGTGAGAGGCAGATTTTGCTTGAGGCTGTTTCTAGACTTTGTGCTGCTAGATTGGCAGCTTTAACACTGTTCTCTAGCACTTTCTTTCAAAGGATAGCAAGGCACTGTACTTACCCTTCATTCTACATATGAACCTTTCCAAATTCAAAGTTCAGATAGACAAGATGTGATTTAACATTGAAGTTAGCCCTGCTCTGAGCAGGGGATTGGACCAGGTGCCCTCCAAAGGTCTTTTCCAACCTGAATTAATCCATGGTTCTATGGTTCTTGCCTCTTGGGAAGGACAAGGGTAATAGTGCCTTATATACAGGTGGAAAACTAGCATAGAGATGGATGAAATGCCTTTTCTCACAGCACGAGCTGGATCAAAGGCAGCCTAAGTTCCAGCTCCCCAATCTTAAACACTCCTTCCCTCTGTGACAATTACCTTAACAAAGGTGAAGTTTATAAACCCTCCACTGAAAGTTATGTTCAGCTCAGACTGCACCGTCCCACAGCTTCCAGATGTCTCCGTCGCATTGGGGTTGACAGCCATGTACTCCATCTGCTTCTGTGGAGAGAAGAGACATTGCAGGCCTGCTGATGAAGATGAGGGGGGAAACTTGATAAGAAACACACAGAGATTTACGGCTGGTTTTTGGGTGGGGTTTTTTCCAGACAGCTGCTGTGTGGCCAAATGAATAGGCCAGCAGTGGCGGCAGCCTAATTGCTGACTGCCGGGGTCATTCCCTGCTTCTAAACCAGCACTAGCACTTGTCTGGCACAGAACCGAGCTGTTCCTCTGTGTTCAGCTCGCAGAAAATAATCCTTTTCTGCTCATTTGGTGAACTGATATGATTCAGAGCAGGGACAGATGAGCACCAGGGGTAATTTAAAAAGAGGGAGCAGTGGAAACTTGTGCCTGAAGGCAGAGGATCAATCAAGACGGAGGCAGGCAGTGGTTAGATTAGATTGGCTTTGACATGTGTTGCTCCTTGTATGACCCCAACCTCCTCATTCTGTCCTGCGCAGTTCACCCCTGGCATCAGCCAACCTACGCTGTAGTCTGAAAGGAGAGCTCTGCAGCGCAGAATACACAGTTCGGCTCCTTCGGCCTTAACTCAAACACACCTTACTTTTGTAATAAATACCTCACTGGGGTCTGGTGAGGTTGGGGATAACGGTCCCTGCCTGGCTTCTGCCAGGACGAGGGATGAAAATTACTTTCACCAACATGAGATACTCATCCCATGTTAGAAATATTCAGACCCCAGCAAGAATATTTGGATTTGTAATGGGAATGGCTCAAGGTGTATGAGCTCCACAGCCTGAGGATGACACACCACATATTGTATTAATGGAGGCTACAAAACCTTAATTCTGAGGGATGTAATCACCACTTCAGGTTTTATGACAACAGTGGATCACTGCTAGGAGAGGGTACTAGCTCCCCAGGATCCGCTCTGATCCAGCCTGGCAGTTCCAGTGATCCTAAAATGTCCATGTGTCAGTACCCACCCACCTCTGAATCCAAGCCTGTGATTTGACAATTTCTTGCTTTCATTGCAACTGGCAGTGTTGAGCCCTTCACTGAAGTCAGTTCAGATTTTAACTAGTCTCCTGTTCTGGGAAACACAAACAGCACTGAAGCCTGACCTGCCCTCCCAGCATCACTGAAATAAGGAAGCACCCATACGTCTCACTGACATCATCATATAAGCCAAAATACAGCAGCTGAGATGCTGTGGAACAGAAAAGATCTTAGACTGGTAGCAAACCCCTTATTTTTGTCATACAACCTAACTTATGAAAATTGCTTTGAAAGAAGAATAAATTCCAGCTAATGAAGAAACAGTCATTACAAAGCTCAGCCTTGCAGTGCTTCCACCTCACCTTCTGTGTATTCTGAGCCATCAGCTGCAAGCCCATGACCGCTTTGATGCAGGTCCTGTTCCCATTGGAAACGGTGTATATGCCAGTGGGGATGGGAGACGGCCGCGGGGCAGGAGTGGGCCTCACTGTCATCGTGGTAGATGGGATGGTTGTTGGAGTCCCTGGATGAATGGTTGTTGTGTTGATCATGGCTGTGGTTGTTGGACTTTTAGGCGGTGTTGTTTGATTTCCCCACCCTGTGCTGGGCTTTACAGTTTGCATGGTGGTGGCTGTAGTGGTTATGGCAGTAGCTGTCATTTGTGTGCTTGGTGTCGTATGATTTATGGTTGTGTTTGTGGCTGCTGCTGTCATTTCTGTGCTTACATGTGTTGTGGCTTTCTTGGTTGAGGACATAGGATTTAGGGTTGTGTTCTTCACTGCAGGTGTAACCGTTTCCATTGCCTGGGTTGTAGCCTGACGGGTTGCAGTTGTGCTGTCTGCTGCTGTTGTGGGTACCACCGTGGGAGGTGTCTGGCCAGCCACTTGTGTGGTGGCTGGC